AAGCCGAGGTTGAGGGCTGCTCGGCTGGATCAGAGGTTGATCCTTGGTTTGTCCGAGATGTGGACGCGACTTGTGGAGCTGTGGCAGAAGGTGGAGAAAAGCTTTTCTTCTTCTTTTTTGGGACGTCGGGAAGAGCCGACTTATACCTGGGGATGAAGTTGAGAAGCAGAGGGGCCTTCCGCTTGTGGACTGGCAAATTTAGTAGTTTCTTGAAGTCTTCGCTGGGAAAGAAAGACTAACGGAAGCCCTTTGGTGGCTAAGGGAGAACTGTAAAAAAGAAAAAAAGCGTAAACATTACAGCAGAATGTTGAAAACTTCATGCAAGAAAGCAAGAAAATTTGTGAAGGGTGGCCCTTACCAACTCCTTCGCAAAAAACTGTTCGACTTAGGGAATAAAGATGGAGGTCATCGTTTGGCTGAAACTCCCAACTACCCGAAACGATGAAGTAATCATCCCCTACTCCCTTGTTGGAGTCAGGGAGGTTGGCAACAATTTTGTATTCCGTGGACCTCGGGTTGAGGTAATAGATGTGGCCTTTTTCTGACTTCAGGCGACACATAGTATAACAGTACTGGAAATCGGCAAGAGTAATCCTAGCATTCTCTTGTTTAGCTAAGGCTATGGTACCATTAATAACTCGATACGAATTGATTGCAAGTTGCATTGGGTTCAACCTATAGAAATGGAAGATTTCACGGAAAAAAGGGTCAAGTGGAAACCTAAACCCACACTCAATAAACACTACTACTGGGAAAGGCATGAGGTTTACATCGGGCATGATAGAGTCGTCATCTCCAGCCAACCTTAGATGGACGTCGGCAAGGATGGAAAACTCTCGCCTAAAGTATTCTAATTTTGTCGGGTTGTCTACCCTATACTTCCACACACCCATGATATCGGCTTAATTGAAGGGGTTGGATTTCAGAAAGGTGTTTTAAAAGGGTTATTGGGACCTCGGCAAAAAACCTAAAGAATGCGCTGGGTAAGGATTTGTGGAAATAGTTTCAATTTTTCCTAATAATCGTGGGTTCTACAAGCAAATCCCAAACCTAGATCTATGGGAACGAAGATTGAAGGCGTAAAATCTGGAAAAACAGAAAAGCAAGAATGTGCTTCAGAATCAAGAATAAAGATGGACTATCAAGAACAGTGGCAACAGTGCAAAAGAGTTGTGAGCAGTACGTGTATTCAAGACATGGGCAAAGAACAAAATCATGAGATAAACACACTCAGATACATGATTCATAAATCAATTGCTTGAGTAAAATAGCAATGGCGACTAATGATGAAGCATAATTTCTTGAAAAACAACAAATAAGAACCAGGAGGAACAGTGGCTTACCAGAAATAGGGAAGCCGGAATGGGATTTGCCGAAGCCTGACGAACGACAGTTACGGAGAGGATTAGCAAGAACCTCGCCGGAGGATTTGGACGGAGCAAGTTGCAGAGCTTCAAAAGCTTGAACAATTGAGGGTTTGAAAGAAAAAGGCTAGAGAGATAAAGCTAAACGGGTTTGTCAAGCGGCGCACGCATGCGCGAGATGGCTTATAAGTGTGTCACAAGTACGATCCAGTAAGAGAAAGACACGTAGCTGAAATGGTTGAATTGTGATGCGTGACAGCTCATACGCGTGAAGAAGCTCTTGGAATCCTTGATCTTTAAGAAAGACATGTCGGTCCATAGTGATGATCTCGGCTGAAGCCGATGTACTGACAAGAAATACCGATATAGGTTCCATCACCTCAGAATGCGATGCCGAGGTAATAAAACTTAGGGGGCAGTTGTGGGGATATATTTTCTGAGTACCAACACGTGGCCAAGGTAACGCCGACGTGTCAGCCGAGGTGCCACGTGTCCAGATTATGACGCTGAGGTGATCTCGGATAGGCTGAGATTATCTCCGAACATATCGGAATCCGGGATAAACGGATAAGGGACAAGAGTCCTAGAATAAGGAAAGACTTTAGCATGGATAAGGATAAAGCTCTTAGGGAGTTTTATCTTTATCTCTTGGAGAATCCAAGATAAGCACTAAGCAAGAGTCCATTGAAGCTAAGCTTCTATTGGGACTACAATTGAGTTTGCTATAAAAGCAAGGCACCCCTATGGGTCTAAGGTACGCAGTTTATATTCTGAATAGTGAGTTTAGCACTATTGATTATCTTTGAGAGATATACTGACTTGATCATCGGAGTGCCCCCGGGTAGACGAACCACCGCCGGAATCTTCTCTTTCTGTTGCAGGTCAGCTAGGTTTCATCTATTCTGCCAGTGCTCTCCAGCTGATTACTGAGTTGGACAGTGTGATTAGAAAATCACTCACACACTTCCTTTTAATACTCAAATTAATTAACATTACGTTTGTTGTTACCTATCACAATCAAGTTGGTTTCAGTCCGTAATCATATGCATTTAAGGGAAATTGCAAATTAATGGAGTGTTCTCAAAATAATTATAAATTCATAAAAAAAATTTATAACTATAGCTACAAATGACAAGAAAGTTTGGTACTATTTTAGTCACAAAAGATAAAATAATTTATTTTAGCTACAACAAACAAAATATCACATCTAACCCATAATCATTATCATTACACTCTTCTCTCACAAAAAAAGTCAAAAAATCCTTCCCAAACCAAACTTTTTAGCCCAAGCTAAAATAGTTAAAAAAATCAAAAAAGTCAAAAAGTCAACACACTTCCCAAACGGAGGCTTAACTAATTTGTAATTATTTTAAAAAGATCCCACTAAATTATAATTTTCCATACATTTAATTAGAGTTCAGTGTGTGATCCACAATATTTAAAGGAAAACTCACTACTTTACGAAAAATTATTATGTACTCGCAGATTATCTTCTTCTTCTTCTTCTCTTTTTATTTTTATTTTTTATATTCAAATAAAAGGAAACAAAGCAGAAAATGCACCAAATAAGCAGTGGGTATCAGACCCTCTCATATTATCAAATGTTCATATTTCTTTACAAATAAGCATTTACCATGTCCATCAACCACCTAATACAAAAAAATAATATTATATGCTTTAATTAATGTATTACTTAAGGTATCAATTGATGATATGATATAATTTAAGAGATTTTTGATATTTGTGATTTGTATAATGAGTGAAGTCAATGATAATGTCATAACTAATGTTAGTATACTGATTAGTACACTAAGGGCATATTTGATTCACAAGATTAATAGTAAAGGTATTAATAATAAATAATATTTATGTACCAATTAATATACACACTAGTGTACTAACAGATAATGTGACATCATTTGTATGATTTTCGATATTTGCAATCTGTATAATAAATGTGGTCAAAAGTAATGTCATACTCCATCCGTCTCAAAATATTAGTCCCTTATTCCATTTTTCATTGTCTCAAAATATTAGTCCCTCTTCAAAAATCAAGTACAAAAATAATATAAATTCCTTATTTTACCTTTTTTTTAAATTAATAAACAATATAAAAAATACAATTATGACATTGATATTCCCAAAAAATGTACTACCAAAAGGGTAATTTTGGAAAATTAACTTTTTTCAAATGCAATAATTGTACTATCAAAAAAAGTTGGATTCCCCAAAAGGGACCATTATTTTGGGACAGAGGGAGTAACATTAATTGGTACACTAGTGTGTAGACTAATTGATGCATGTAGCATTACCGATTAATAATTCCGGTGATGCTAGATGCACCAATTAGTGTACTAACTAGTGTACTAACACTAGTTATGACAATATTATTGACCCTATTCATTAATCACATTACAAATGTCAAAAATTTCTTAAATTATGTGACATCATCAATTGGTACACTAGTTAGTAGATTAATTAATGCATATAACATTATTCTAATAATCCCATCAAATTAGTATGACATTTACTATCCAATTGGATTAGTAGGATAAATTATCCCATTATCCATTGTTTGATTTGCATTGGATAAAAAAACATATGAATGTAAGATTACAACTATATTTATCTTCTTTTCCAATCTTAACCTCTATCAATATTTCTTCACAATATTTACTTTATCAAAATTTCTTCATCAACGTGGTTTTGAAAAAAAATTATAAATAAATAAAAGCAAAATAAAAATTCAAAATACAAAGGCCATGTTTGGTTTTTTTTTTTTTTTTAATATAAACTAATTTGATAAATAAATATCAAAAAATATTTTTGAATTTTTAAAAATTATTTTTAGCCTTCTAAAATATAAAATTATACAAAAATAATAAGCGTTTTAATTTTTAGTCAAGGGTAAAAGAGTCTTTTTATTTTATTTCTCAGCTCAGGAAATATAATCCCACCCCTACCCCATTACTAATAATCCTACAAATTTGTTGGATTAATTATCCATTGGATTAATAATCCTAAACCAAAATGTTAAAACAAACATGAGATAATTGGGCCCACGGATTAATAATCCTAATCCCATGCTCTAATCCACCCAATCAAACATGCCATTATGGTATAGTTCTTGAGGGATGCAACTTGAGTCAATCCAACTTAAGTAACCAGATTGAGTTCAACTAGTAAAGGCCTATTTTGAAAAGTGATTTTTTTTTGGTTTATTTTTTATTTTGTTGAAAAAATGTGTAAAAAAAAAATAAAAAGAAATGATGTACTCAAATAAGCCAATCAATTAATAAACTGATTTTTTTTTTTTAGTTACCAAATAGGCCAAAATTTTGTGCCTCGGACAATTTAATTTTAAATTCAATAAGAACTTGGACCAAAATTTATCAACTCAAATCATATATACAGTATTATTATTTAGATTAAAAAATTAGACATATTTTATAGACTCAAAGATGTCTTCTTAATACATCACTAAATTTAGAAAGTGTGTCTACAAAATAAATTTATATATCATTTTCCTAAAATATATTCATGACTTCAATTGAGTAAAAAATGTCCTTTCCGGAGAGACTTCATTCCGCATTTTCTAAATAAAATTATCAAAAAATATCACTTTTGCCCCATTTTTGGGACCCAAATTGTCTATAAAAAAAGGGAGGAAAATAAAAGTATAAAAAGATATCCCAAATTGCTCTTTTCCTTTAGGCAATTGAACATACATATCCTTCTCCTCTTTCTCTTATTATTATTAAAGTTATGAAGATTAATAAAAACAAAACAGATCACACACCTGGTAAATATACCAAAGAAATCTGCAAGTTGAGGAACATGCATCAAATTAGCAACTACCAACCCCAAGAATAGTGCAAACCCCATCAAATGCCTGTTTAAAAAAAAAAAAAAAAAATTAATTTATTTATTATGACAATAGAGACGATGATCAATACTGTTAGTTACATTTAAAAAATAAATAAATAATTTGAAAAGTAGTTAGAAAAAAAAGAAAAGAAAAGTGTGTCAACTAAATTCATACTACCAAATTTTTGTCACACTTTTAGACTGTTTTGATGATGGTGAAGGCACTATTTTGTCCTTTAGGTTCAATTCAATTTCTAAAAGATTATTATTACTTGGAATAAAGTTGCCACAATGTAAAAAAGAAAAAAAAGAAAAAGAAAATTTACCCAACGAAAATTTAATACATTTACCCATAAGAAACAAAACAAAATATTGAAACAACTTTTTTATTTACACAAAAATCAGGTCTCGTTTAGAAAAGAACTATTTTAGTTAAAAAATTAAAAAGTGATTAAAGAGTAAAAAAAAACATGTTTAGCAATAATATGAAAAGATTGGCTTCTACCCATATAAAAAGACCAATACATCCTCACAATAACATTTTTCATACAACTAAAACAAGGGTAAAATGAAAATTTCAAACAAAAAACCAAATATTACATTAAATTTTCATATTTTTTTATACAACTAAAAAAGATTAAAAAAATATTCTGAGATATGTTAATTTTTTTCAACTCATAACTTAGAAAGTCATTAAAAAAATCTCTTCCCAAACGGCACCTCAATCACAAAATCAGACACAATCTTCTCAAACGGATCACAAAAAAGTAAAATTCATTCTATGATCCGTTCCTATATTCTAAACTTTTTCAGATTGAAAAGATCAAAGTTTAGAGAGAGAGACAGAGAGTTAACTTACGTCCAAACATTGAGAGTCTCATTATGCCAACGAAACAAGCTAAAGAATGCTTGTTTGAGAGGCCAATTGGCTCTATAGTAATTCAGTATGAACTCATTGTCCTTCATGTACTCTGGCAATTCCTCAAACCTCACCAAAGCCCATCTCTTGTCTTTGTCTTTGTTTTTGATTTCAGATTTCTTGCTTTTGTTTCCATTGTTGTTGCCTGATGTGGAACTGCCTCCTAAGTTCAAGAGTTGTTGTTGATCATCCATCTCTCTTGTTATTCTCTTCCAAACACACCCTTGTTCATCTCTATTATTCATTGTATTTACAACAATCACAACCGAAGATGAAGATGATGACGATGCCCAAAACCTAATTGCAATTAAACATTGTATCATCGAAATAAAAACTCAAATCTTGCAAAGTAAAATAATCAAATTGAAATGTGGGTTCTGAGATAGAGAGAGAGGACCTCGAGTTGGGCAGATTTCATGGCGATGGGGATGCAGATGAGGAAGATACCAACCATGGCGATGGCAGTATTGCGCTTCTAGTGCTTGGGTCTGCAGTACGAACCATCGTTCATGCTCCATACTTTGTTTCTAAAGTCTCCGCCGTGTGTTGCATCTCCGTGGTGTCCGTGATCTCCTCCTCCTCCGCCCATCTTCGCTTTCTCTCTCTTTGTGCGATGGTGATGATTGGAGGAGGTGATGAGCAGCACCATGGCTGGGTCGCGAGAGAGTCGTCGGAAAGAGATGCGTGGGTGTTTTGAAATTTGAAAATTAGGAGTGAGATTAAAAGAAAAAAAGAAGAGAGTTTATAGAGAGAGGTTGATGAGCGTGGGTCTCTCTTCTGTAGGAAGTGGATGGGTGTGTTTTGAAATTTAAAATGTGAAAAGGTGAGGTACGATAGATGAGGATGGGTGGTTGCAAAGTTTGTGGCTCTTGGTGAGAAGTTTAGGTAGAGTGAGAGATAAGGTTTTTATCTCAGTTGTCTATCTAAATACAAAAATGAATCACAACCATTAATATGTCCTAGTAGGACAATTGTCTCTAGGATAAATTAAAAAATCTTCTTCCCTTACTATATGGATGTTAAAGATTCATATTAGGTGTAAATTTACGAAAGTCTATCAGGTATTCAATATATTTAAAAATAATAATTAATTGTTCAAATTCATTTAATTTATGGACTATGAAATTCATTAATTTAATCTCCACTGCACACAGTAAAATCTGACTCTTAATTTTGGGATCACAGACTTTTCCATATAATGCAAGTAAAAATAAGTGAACAAAATGGAGAAAATAAAATAAAAATAAACAAATGGAGGGAAAAATAAAAATGGGAGAAAATAAAAAAATAAAAAAGAGAAAAAAAGGTGGGATCATGGGATCATAGAAGGACGGGTGAGAAAAGGAAAAAGTAAGAGAGAGAAGCGGGAGAATAAGAAATGTACATATAAGATATTTTTTTGAAAATATATCTCAGCCGTTGTTTTATAATTTGAATCGATCTGAGCGATCAAATGTCCTAGTAGAACAAATGTGTATAAGACAAATTCAAAAATCATCCTGCTTTATTATATAGATGTTGAAGATTAATATGAGATCTAAATTTACGAAATCTATCAGGTATTCAATATATTTAAACATAATAATTAATTGTTAAAATCCATTTAATTTGTGGGCTAAAAAATTCATTAATATAATCTCCACTACACACAGTAAAATCTGACTTCTAATTCTGGGATCGCAGACTTTTCCATATAATATGAATAAAAATAAGTGAACAAAAAGGAAAAAACAAAAAAAAAACCAAATAGAGAGAAAAATAAAAATGAGAGAAAATAAAAAAAATAAAGAATAAAAAAGAGAAAAGAATATGGGATCATGAGATCATAGAAGGATGGGTGAGAAAAGGAAAAAGTAAGAGAAAGAAGCGGGAAAATAGAAAATGTACATGTAGGATATTTTTTGCAAAATGTATCTCAGACGTTATTTTATAATTTGAATAGATCTGAACTATCCAAATGTCCTAGTAGGACAAATGTGTGTAGGAAAAATTAAAAAACCATACTGCTTTATTATATAGATATAAAAATAATAAGTGTTTTAATTTTTAGTCAAGGGTAAAAAAGTCTTTTTATTTTATTTCTCAACTCATGATATATAATTTCACCCCTACCCCATTACTAATAATCTTACAAATATGTTAGATTAATTATCCATTAGATTAATAATCTTGAAATAAAATTTCAAACAAACCCTACATTATTGGGCCTATGGATTAATAATTATAATCTCATACTCTAATCATGTCAATCAAATATGTCCTGATTGGTGCATGTAGTACCACTGAATACAAAAGAATATTATCCTACCCTCTTTACCAAGGGTGATTATATTCTTGGAGTATGTACACGTGGTGCTCCATTGAATTTTGATTAATTGAGAGAGGTAGGAGTCTACGATTTATGTTAGAAATAGAAAAATAATATGAAACTAAATAATTGATAATTAACTTAAAATATAATCATGTGACGTTCCGAAATTATTAAATAACTTCCCCCTACCAATTATAATGGCATGGAGCACCACATGAGGAGTACCCAATAACCCATCCACAAATTAGCTTGCAAGCAAATAATAAAGTCCGGAAAGGATCTCTCTCTTTTGAGGTGGTTTGGTATACCGGACCTACGTACACTCCCCAAATATCCTTTTCAAGAATTTCTCTACTATTCTTCAAATAGTAATTACACCACTAACTTTACTAGTGCTAGTAAACCTTTACAACAAGTGACCAATCTCGATCACTCTAACTAATTTTGAATCCGATGTCTAGTCGCACCTAGCCTAAGTGATTTTATCTCAAAAAACCACTCACAAAAATATCCCAAGTAGTTTTGAATCCGGTACCTAATCACACCTAATCCAAGTGATTTCATCTCAAAAAATCACTCGCGAAAACTTTCTTTTTACAAGTATAAAATGAATAAGGTACATAAAACCCTTTTACAATTTTTCTAAAACTCTCAATAAATTTTCTCACAAAAAATATAACTCAATGAAACACAATACAATATTTGAGAATATTTCAATATCACGGATTTTTCTCTTCTTCACTTCTTATTTTTCTTAAACCAAAACACTTCTACATATATCCAAAAAATTCTTCCCGTTAAGAGAGGAGAGACGCACCTCTTCAAGCTTGCATGCCATGTGAAGATAGAACCCACACTCTTGTTTTTGACTTGTTAGCTCGAGCACACAGAGGAAATACACGCAAAGCAACAGTTGAAATTAGTGACTAAACGATCGCTTTCGATGAATAGTAATTTCAATATTTTCAAAAGATTTGCCGTAAAATCAAATGGTGCACGGTGACTGTATAGTAACTTTTCTAATAAAATATTTGAATGTATAGCGACTTCTCTATTAAAATATTTGAATGAATAGTAAAATTTCTTTAAATAACATTTGTATCACATGTAAAAATATATACCTCATTTAAAATCTTTGTAACTATTGTAGAGATTTTGGATATATAAAAATAGCCCACCACCCTGCGTGGGTATATCAAATTTATCAAAAGAAGTGAATAGTTTTAAACACATTTTTTCAAAACGTGAATAGTGAATAGTGACAAACGGATTTTATGCACAATAACTTTCACAAATTTCAAATATGCACATTAAAAACATCACAATTTATCGTGTAATATTTTAAATTTTAAACATCACATGTGAAACAAAAAAAAATGAAATTCAACGATTAATTATTGTCAAAGATTTATTTTTTCTTTATGGAAATCTTTTTCTGATACCGACATTGGGGTTATTTGTGTTGGGTTTGCGAGAATGTTTTGAACTTCCTTATATGAGCAATCCTAATGGGCTTGGTGAGCGTTTTGTGACAGTCTGTTGGGCCTGGTCTCGAATTCATGTTATTGATCCGAATCATTTGTATTGTAAATTTATTAAATAAATCATTTATGAAAAAAATAAATTAATTGGACATTTATAACTTTAAAATGAGAGCACATTTATTTTTAAAAAAAATGAATGGTTAGAAAAATTTTGATAATGTTTTTTAAAATAGTTAAAACTTGATCATAGAGTTACACATATCCAATTAATATGATTTTTTTTTTTTATAAATGATATGTTCGTTGAATCGTATAATATAAATGATTCAGATCAACAACATGATTCAGATTAACAACAAGTGCTATGAAATCAGTGTAAAGTGTATTGGACTCTACTCATTTTTTTTTTTCTTTTTCCATTGTGCATAGGTGCTGAGAGGGTAATTTTTGGTAAAAATTGGGCCGAGTTGTGAGATGGACTTGGTGGCCCAAAATGCCAAGGACTGGGTAAAAGGCCGAAATGTTACTGCGTAAAAAAAAAAAAACCCAAATCTATAGAGATATTTCAAATATACACAAATCAAAATCAAAATAAAAAACAGAGGAAGAAGGAGAAGAGCAGAGGAAAAAAGAAGAAGAAAACAGAGCAAGAAGGAGAAGAGGAAGAAACAAAGATTTGTGTATACATACACACAGATCTATGTATTTACAAATCCATACAGCCCATCCTCCCTCCAGCCTATCGTCTTTGTCATCGCCCATCGTCTCCGTCTTTCTCCGTCCAGCCCATCACCTCTCTTCCTCCTTCTTCTCTCTTTCTTCTCTTTTCCCTCTTTCCTCTTCTCTCTTCTCTGTTTCAGCGAGAAGAAAGAGAGGAGAAAAAGAAATATATATATATATATATATATATATGTATTCAAAATGAGTA